AGTGGTGTCAAGTCAAGCTGATGTCGTATTTCAGTTCCTATTCCCCTTCTGTGGATTGAAAATCTGGTATTTGTTTATATTTAAATATGGATGAAATAAAAAAACAGAAAATTATATATATATATATATATATATATAGGTTAGATTATATATGATTGAAAATATAACAAATACATCACAGATATTTAATCATAGTTTAATTACTTAATGATTATTTATTTAATTGGTATAAAATATCTAAGGATACAAATTCTACAAGTACACTGTAAAAACAAAAAGTACAAAAGTACATTTTGTAAATAAAAGATTACTGGAGTACATTTTACAAGAAAATACTATTTCAGCCTTTCTACTTTGAAATTCTATGCTTAATTCCATGTGTTACTTGCTGTTTCTTTGTAATTCTTGGTAAAATTATTAGCAATTTCTCAGTGTTTTTTAAAAATTTTTGCAGTGTACTTTGACAGAAAAAGAAAAACTATTTTTGGGCCTCATCTAGAAATCGACATTTCAACAAAGCAGTAATTTATGAGGTGTTCTGCATTATTAAACATGTCTTATTTGGTTTTGCCGTTTCTGCGAAAAACTGTCACTTTCAATTTAAGTGTGTCATTGCAGAGAAATGAAAGTTCCAGACTTGTGATTTACATAAAGCACACCTTTGCTGATTGACTGATTATTTATTTCATGGGAGTATCCTGCTGCTACTAAGCAATCCTACATAAAATAAGATTTTATTAAGCTGCAACTTCAGTTGTGCTGCTGTGCAACCTGCTGAGAGCCAACAAATCCCTTTTTAGTATAAAACTATTAACCTTTAGAGACTTCAGCACAGGACATGCAGACTCTGCGAAAGACGTAAGATTGTAATCTAACTCCCTAAATAACTGACATGAATTCAGAGTGAGGCTAACAGAGGGCCTGTATTTCTGGAAATTGTTACTGGAGGAAATGCTGCAGCTTATCAGAATGTATTCCACACATATCATAGTCCAATTATCACAGGAAATTTCTCTTTAAAGAGAAGGCCTTTAACCTCAAGGGAGGATGTTGCACATTGAGTCTTTACTCCATAAGGTAGAAAATATTTTTTTCCCTGAATATTTATCAATATTTGTCTTATTCAGGGTGGGCAAAACAACATTTTCTAGAATGTAACGGCAAAAAATTGACACACCATCCTTGTCATGCCAACTGAAAATATTGAGCTGCAGAAATGCGTTTTGAAGTAATCTGAGTATCTTCAACAATCTAAAAAGAAAATAGCATTAATGATCTTTTATGAAGTGTCACACCAAAGGAATTTCTCGGAGAGTTCCTGTAACAGCAATATACTGCATGAATACAGAACTCCACCTTGTGGTTGTTTTAGTCAACCTTAATCTGAAGTCATTGACTGAGTTACAGCACTTGCTTGTGGAATATTAAGATGCCAAGTTTGTTCATGGGATTTTCAGCTTTGCTTTATTGATCTTGATATGAAATTTAATTTTTGTGACATGCCTCAGGCCACTTAATGTCTAGACTATTTATATTTATCTGGCCAAGCAAGTTATTTACTTGATTGATTAAATACACTAGGGGGCGCTATATATAGACTTCCAAACAAAGGTGCACAATAAGTAAACGGAGCAATATATTGCTTCGCTTTTTCACAAAGGATATACCCTGCTGCACAACAATAATGTAAAAAAAAAAAAACTTTGATGGCACTGCATTTTGGAAGCTAGAATCAAAATACAGGCGATTATGTTAGCTGATATTAATATCAATAAATAATGTCTGTGATTATGTGTTTGGTGTTATTTATGGTAACATTTTGCATGTTGACGGATCAAACAACAACATAAATAGAACTCATTAGAGAAATAATGAAAGAGTCATAAATTCTTGTATTCTGGCTTTGATATCGAGTGCCATTAAATGAGACCCATTATGATTTTACTGAAAATGTATATACTTAAATCAAACTAAAACATTAAAAATGTTGAATACATGTCATTTCTCCCTTTAATGGTTAATAACCTGCTATCTTTGACCCAGCAGACAATGACTATTTTAATTTTTCATTCTTGACTTTCTCAGGTTAAGTGTCACTAGCTTTTTGAATCATGAGATGATATCTGCTGCCAGTCTGAATTAAACATGTTCTGGCTGAACAGAGAAAAACATTCAATTAAATATATGGAGTATAAAACATCAGCATATTAAAAATTGTTGTTAATTACTGTCAATTAAACATTATTGCTTCATCACTTATCTTAAACAGTGTTGCGAAAATACTGTATTTAATAATGCAAATCAATAAAAATAGTATATTTTACAAATGCATAAAAACACGAGAATATTAAACAAACTTTCATTAAACAAATCTTTTAAAAACAGTCCATATCATATATACACAGAGTGAGATGTGTATAAACTGCTGCCTTTAACTTCAATACTGTAAAATCAGTGCAATGATCTTGTCAGTACAGTGCCAATGACTTCATAAACCATTATTTGACTTCTCCCTTGGTGGCTGGGCCTTTACACGTCTTAGGTATTCTTTGGAAACTCTTACATACTTTTTATTGGGACTCCAACTTTTTCTCCCTGAGAACAACAAAACGAATTGTTAGACATTGAAAATAAAGCTGTTCTATTGTCTTGATAGTGACTTTCTCATTAATTACAGACAAACCCAAAATGATCAAACATACCATTTTTACCACAAACATCCATACAGCTTTGTTTGGAGATGAAGTTATTATTGCTTCCTCCGCATCCTGTGTATATGAACTCCTCGCAAGTCTTAGTAGCAGAGTTGTAGTAATACCTTGGTATGGAAGCTAAGCACTTTCCTTTGTCCAAAATATCATTGCAAATCACAGGGATTGCTGGAAAAAATAAAAAAGACCACAAAAATGTTTAACTTTTCATCTTTGCATTTTCTAGGGACCTCAGATATGTTCTAGGTGAAGCCAGGGTCCATTAACTAAGCAAGGCAAGAGACTGGAAACCATTTAGATGTGATGGCCATTAAACAAGCCCGTTGTGCTGATGATTTGAAAAGATGACAATAAAAAAAAAATATCTTAATGTGTTCCAATGAAGACGATTAGGGTTGCAATAAGTACACAGATCCCTTAATGTTCTCCTCTATGTTCCGCTCATCCATTTTTTTTAATGCTATTGACATTTCCTCACCAAACGATTATCAAGATTTTAAACTTTATTCCTGCTATTTTACTAAAGACGGCAACAACAACAAAAAACACTTTCCAATATTGTCTTTAAATACATGTCATGTATATATATATTTTTTTAAATTTGCATTTTAAATATTTTTTTATGACCTAGAATGCCATTTTCTAATTGAAATACGTTTTTTAGAAATGCTACTGTGTCTCAATGTACTTACTTTTAGGAGGTCTGCAATATTCCATACATTCCTGAAGGTTTTGAAAGTTGTTGTCATTGCCTTGACAACCACCATAAGTGAAGGCCTCACACTGCATGGAGGTCATATTGAAGAAATAGCGCTTGAAGAGGGCACGGCAGGGCCCCTCTTCCATTTGAAAACGACAGATTTGGGGGATTTCTGTAGTGTGCAGAAGAAAACAGGTTAAAGTGAGCATTTCACAAGTGTGAACACAATGCCTATGATATTTTTTTAACCATAACTGCCCTCAGAACTCTCATAAAAAGTCCATTTAAGATGCTGTGTGTATTGTTTACAGAACATGTGCATGTATTCACAGTGGATGTATAAAATAAACGTACTTGGTATCCTGAAGCACGTTTTCTGGCATTCCAAAAAGGATTTGAAGTTGTTTGCGTTTCCTCTACAACCGCTATAGCTGAATTCTTCACACTGTTGGGTGATTGTATTGTAGTAATAGCGCTGGATGTCATCAGTGCACGGTCCTTCTTCAACTTGCAATAGGCAAACTTCTGTGGGGGAATAAATTGCTCATTAAAAATGATAAATCTCAACCTCAAATTCACGTGCAACGTTCTGTGTCAGGTTTCAACAAAACAGTCTGTTTCGCCTATTTTGCTACAACTTTTGAGGAAGTCATTAAAAATCCAAATGTTATCTTTACCTCTGGGATGTAGTCCGACGGCGCTTTGCAGTACAGCAACAATAAGCAAAAGACCTCCAAGAAAATCACACGACATTGTGATAGATTTTGGATTCTAAGGTCGCGTGTAGTCTGATATATCTTACTCGCCTGTGAAGTTACTTACTTGACTTCTTACAATCGTTGCCTTATAAATGGAGAATTTGTCAGGGGTGGAATTGGAAGGGCGGGCTATACTTAGTCATTTCCATGACAATTCCACGTAGTACTACAGCAAGTTGCGTCTATTCCCAAAGAAGGAAATAAGTAATAACTTCATATTTCATGACCTTAGAATTATATCAAAGCCAAACTTAGTATTACTACAACTATTATATATATATATATATATATATATATATATATATATATAT